GGTCAGATGAAGTGATTCTGTCATTCTGAAGCAACGTACTGAAGTAAAAACCAGACCTCCATAAGGAGCATTAAGTTCGGTTCCAATGTAAGGTGAAACTTCTTTGCTCACGATTCTGACCGAAGGTCACAAAATAAAGCGACTTCTTCCTGAAGAATGATTGTTATTGTAACTCCTTTTTGGTGTGTAAATCCAAAAAGTGCAAGGTCTGATGGCAGGAGTCGCCCCATTCCTTACACCAGCTGATTTATGTGAAGAAAGCAGGCAGCCTTCCTTCAAGGAAGGGACTTCCAAGGAGAAAGGGACTGCAGTATTTCCTCCTGCCACTCCAGAACTCAACCCCAAAGCTGTCAGATGTGCTCATTAATTAGGGATATAAAAGCAGTTCTTGCAGGAGCACTTTCTTCTTTTTTTATCCTGCTTCCAAGAAGTAGAAAACTTGTGTCCAGTGGTACGGTGATGCCTTCAGTCAATTTGGAACTAGGGAGTGGTAAGGAGGAGGCTGAGGAACTCAGCTGGTGGGAAGATGGAGAGCATGATACACGAGTTCAGTTTTATTTCCTTCTGTCTGTTCTACTGTCACCGGAACTGGTTGTGGTGAGAGCTGTAGGTAGGTAATGCACAACAGACTCCAGTAAATACCTGCAATCCAAATAAAATGATTCCAGTATGTCAAAGTAAAACTACACGTGCGTAAATGTAAACTAGACTTCCAGATGCAGCCAACAGCCAAACGCTGTTGCTTATCCTTAAAGTATTGTGTATTACTAAGCTTTATTAGAACATATTATTATTCTTGCAGGAAAAATGGAGAATTATGAACTGATTCACTCTAGCAGAGTAAAATTTATTTATCCAAATGAAGAGGAGATTGGGGACCTTGCTTTTCTAGTGGCAGAGAAGATGGATGGCTTAACTCAGCTCCGGTCTCTCCATATCCTCCTTTATGTGTTGGCGTTTCAAGTCAGTCCTGTGGAAGGATCTGCCCAAAACACTAGTCCACTTCAACCTAAAACACTAATACTAACCAGCTCCGATTTGTTCCTCTTTGATGAAGATTATATCTGTTATCCACTGCCTGAATTTGCTAAGGAGCCTCCAAAGAGAGACAAGTATCGGCTTGCGGACGGCAGACGAATCCGGGACTTGGACAGAGTACTTATGGGTTACCAAACGTATCCACAGGCCCTTACATTTGTGTTTGATGATGTTCAGAATCAGAACCTGATGCAGAACTTAGCGCTGAATCACTTTGGAGACGCTGACAGTGCCCCAAAGGGAAATGCTAAACAAGAAGGCATCAGGAACAGAGAGATCCAGTGGTGCATCTTTATTCCAAGTGCAGAAAGTCGAGAGAGGTTAATTTCATTGCTTGCAAGACAGTGGGAGATATTGTGTGGTAGGGAACTGCCTTTGGAACTCACTGGGTAACTCGTGCCCAGCTCGGTGATTGCAGTGTCTGTTCTCAAGTGAAGCACAGCGTTTCAAAGAGCGCCTGTCAAGTTCTGTCACTTCAGTAAGGAGCTGAACTGGACTCCTGTGCTTCCTAGGGCACTGCACAGTCCGTGCGACCGCTCCGAGGTGTGAGCTGGAGGTGGGACTTTTTGTGAAGTCTGTTTTTTATGCAGTAGCATATAGTGACAAAATTCATGAGACATCCTGGGAAACTGTATGGAAAAAATCAAGGAGTCAACACTAGATATGCTGTCTTCTAGGGCTGTTGAGGTTTCTGCTGATTTTACTGTATATATCAGTCTTGCTATTCTATACAAATTCCAATGTGTAAATAATGGTAAATGCTTGTGTACGTTCCAGTGCAATGGTATTTGTACAAGATGTATTTTGGGTATGCTGCTAATGCTTATTATTTAATGACCTTTGTTTTATGTATTTCTTCCATTCTAAGGCCAAATGTAATGATTTGCTGCCAATCACAAGCCTGGCAGCAAAATCTCCAGCACAAGCAGGCGACACTTTTTCCACACAGAGTTAGTTTCATGCACATTCTTTTTGTTTAGCACAGGAGAAAGGATTGCCTGTCAAAGTCTACTCAGTATATGGCCTTGAAAGTGGAAATAACCAAGATGACTATAAAACTATTTTGTCAGCAAATAATGAGTTTGTATCACTGAGCACCCAGTCTTTCTTTTGCCTATTTTGTCAATACAAATAAAGTGTAATTTGACAGTTGTCTCTTGGCCTTGTCTTAATTCAAGTATATCTTGTTTGCAGGATACTCCATGTACAGTTCAGTGGTGCATTTTGTTCCTGGAGTGTATTATAAAGGATGAAATAAGGAACAAAGGGAAAGAAAATGGTTTCTACTGTAGCAAGTATGTAATGGTTCCCAAATGCTGTTGAGTTGTGGAAACAGAATCTGCAGGCTCTGAACACAGTGTAAAGGGATTCATGTCAGGTTTTGTCACAGGCAGGGATTTGCTTTCCAAGCTGGCGGTCATCCTTAACCTGAGGTGTTTGTATGCCCAGCAAGTGACAGTATAACAGAAAAAAGTCCCTACTCAGAGTTTGTCTTCATATAAGGAGACTTCAGTGTTTCTTTATATTACATTTGCAGGAAGTAAGAGATGAACTGTTCTGAAATACACGCAACCAGCTGATGCTGTTTAAAACTGACGATCTTTTAAAACATAAAAAAGCAGGTTGGAATGCACCTCTGGAACTTGGGACGGGGCATCCTTCCAACAGGTTCCTCAGAGCCTTCTCCAAAGTTGTGAGCATCTCTATCATTCTATGGAGCATTTCTCCCTACTAATAGGAAGTTGGGCTGTGCTCTGTAGGGTCTGGATGCAGGAATGTTGCAGCCAGTGCAAGAATGACAACAAAGTAAGCAGCCAAAGTCAAAAATTGTATGGTGGGATGCTGTGGAGCTCCATAATAACCAGAGCATTGCTCATCTGCTACTATCCTTTGTTTATTAGAGGAAGCCCTGCCACTCCTGGGCTTAGCCTGAGCTGAATGGTTACAATAGAGTGTGATTACTATAAACTGTACTTTCCTCTCTTATAAAGAATGTTTTCTGTTACCTAAAATACCAAGTGTACATATATATATTTAAGCTCAACTGTAATTAGGTAGCAAAAGCTTTACAATTAAAAAAAGGAAGTAGGTATAATTAAGCTCAGGTCTTAATTATTTCTCCATTAACGCTCTTAATTGGTTGGTACGATTGTTTTAGATAACACTCAAGAGGATTCTTTGGCAACTCAGTATTAATTGCAAGTGCTTGAGAATGTAGCAGATGAACAGATGTGCAACGTTGCTGCTGGCTGCCCAACCTGCTGCCTTGCGTGGGCTGCACTGAGTGAAGAGGAGTTGTCCTGGGCTGCATATACGTTATATAATGGTTATGTTATAGAAGTTACTAAGCAATTTTAGATACATTTTTCTTTTAAACGTTATAATAATAATTAAAAAAGTATATAATAGTGGGATATTTGTCCTTGTTTTAGTGGACCTAACACAACAGTCTGGATTAATGGGAGCTCACTAAGAACTGCAACCACTTCCAAGGTGTTCAGCAGAGATTTTCAATCATCGTAGAATCACAGAATGCCCTGGATTAAAAAGGAGCACAGTGCTCATCCAGTTCCAACCCCCTGCTGTGTGCAGGTCGCCAACCAGCAGCCCAGGCTGCCCAGAGCCACATCCAGCCTGGCCTTGAATGCCTGCAGGGATGGGGCATCCACAGCCTCCTTGGCAACCTGTTCCAGTGCCTCACCGCCCTCTGGGTGAAAAACTTCCTCCTCATATCCAACCTAAACCTCCCCTGTCTCAGTTTAACACCATTCCCCCTTGTCCTCACACCATCCACCCTCACAAACAGCCGTTCCCCCTCCTGTTTACATGCTCCCTTCAAGTACTGAAGGCCACGAGTTCTCCCTGGAGCCTTTTCCTCTACAAGCCGAACAAGCCCAGTTCCCTCAACCTTTCCTCACACAGAGCTGCTCCCTCTGCTCATCTCAGTGCCTCCTCTGGAACCGCTCCTGTGCTGGGCCCCAGGCCTGGACGCAGCGCTGCAGATGGGGCCTCACAGGAGCTGAGCAGAGGGGGTCGATCACCTCCCTCTGCTGCTGGCCGCCCCTTTTTCATGCAGCCCAGCACACAGCTGGCCTTCCGGGCTGCAGGCGCACACTGCTGCCTCATGGCCAGCTTCTCGTCCGCCAGGACCCCCAGGTCCTTCTCTGCAGGGCTGCTTCCAGGAGATCTTCCTCCACTTTGTATAAACACCTGGCATTACCCCGACCCAGCACCCTGCACTTGGCCCTATTGAACATCTTTATGTTCTCATGGGCCCACTTCTCCAGCCTGGCCACGTCCCTCTGGTTGGCTTCCATTCCTTCCAATGTATCAACTGCACCGCTCAGATTGGTGTCATCCGCAAACTTGTTGAGGGTGCCCTCGATGCCACTGTCTGTCATTGAAGATGTTGAAGAGCACCAGATGTAGATGACACCCATTGCCCTTCCACATCCACCAGAGCTGTTGATCTATCGTAGAAGTCCACCAGATTAACACGAAAGGTTGCATTCTACACAGTAGAGGTTTTGACCCCATAATAAAGTTTTGGAACGTAAATGAAGCTTTTGCCAAACAAATGAGCACCTGGGAAAAAAAAAAAAACAAGTCCTCCTCACTCCGTATAACTATGTGAAAGGAGACTGAAGTGAGCTGGGGGTCTGCCTCTTCTCCCAGGTAGCAGCAATGGAAGGAGTGGGAACGGCCTCCAGTTGCACCAGGGGATCCCCGTTGGATCCTAGGAAGAACGTCTTTGCTGAAAGAGCGGTCGGGCACTGGCACAGCTGCATGGGGAGCTGGGGGAGTCAGCATCCATGGAGGCGTCCCAGAACCGTGGGGATGTGGCACTGAGGGACGTGGGCAGGTGGGGGCTGGACGGTGGGACCTGGGGATCTTAGAGGTCTTTGCCAACCACAGGGACGCTGTGATTCTGTGAATCGAGTCATTTATTGTAGTGAGAGGTAATGAGCAGCAAGCAACAAAAAGTCACGGGAACAGCTGAGCGCTTGGTTGGGACACTGCTGGAGCCACAGGCCCTGCAGCACTCAGGTGGGGCCAGGAGTGAGGGGCACTCAGGTGTCGCCCAGTGCCTTCAGCAGCACCAACACGCCGGGTTCCAGCGGGGCTGCGTCCGGCACCGGGCCCCTCACCCTGCGCTGGCTGCAAGAGCCTCCGCCCTGCTGCCTGGGTGCCCTCAGCCCCGGTGGGGTGTGATGGCATCACAGAGGGTGGCACGGAACGGCCATTGTGACCTGCGGGGTGCGGAACAGAGCCAAGGCTGCGGGGCCCAGGCCGAGCTCAGTGCGACTTGGTGAGGTGAGCAGGGAGGAAGGGGCTGCCTGAGGCTGCCCAGGGAGGAGGGTTCCCCAGCGCTCGGGGCCGGAGCTGAGAACTCAGCCTCGTCCCGCTTCTCCCCTAGGTTGTCACGCGGAGGAGAAAGCCTGGTTTTGCTGGGACAGACACTCTGCGAGTGCTCGCCGTTGATGCACATGATGTCCAAGGGGACAAAGAAGCCTGCCAGCTCATGGCAGATGGGTGAAAGTAAATATCGCTGCGCACAGCTCCCCACCACTGGGCAGAGGGATGCCGTGGTTGGGCTGTGGCCGCCTGCTGGCACTGCTGGGCCTGCAGTGTCCCTTCCCCTCCATGGCCTCTGGCCAGCCCCTCAGCTGGCACAGCTGGCACACAGCAGCCCCTGGGACAGACCCCGGGGGCACCTGGCCCCGCAAGGCGCTCACTGCTGTTCCTCTCTCCTCTCCAGCTTGCGTGCTCTGTGGTCAGGGAGATGCTGACAAAGACATCTATGGGCGCAAACTGATCATCAGTGGGATCTATTTCCACCAGTTTTGTGCAGTGAGTTCCTTCACGGCTCCTTCCACCATCCTCCAAACAATGGTTCCCTCCTTTCTGCCATAACAAGATCGTGCTCTTTTCCCATACAGCTGTTTGTGGGTGGCCTTCTTCAAGGAGCAGCAAGACAGAAGAGAAATGATGATTTAAGCAGGGTTGAGATTATACGCACAATCGTGCAGGCAGAGCAGACGGTGAGCACCGCACCGGAACAGGGAGCTTGGTGCCAGCGGAGGCACGGCTGAGCTTTGCCCGGTCTCAAGAACACAATCCCGGCCCTTCCAGCCAGCCCCAAGAGAAATCCCTGCTCTTGCAGACCAGCCCTGTTCAGCAGGCAGCTCTGCAGAGTGCCAGCCAGCCCTGCCCCCATCCCGTGCCCTGCACAGAGGTGCGGGGCCCGCTGCGTAGGCCCTGAGCCTGCAGCTGATGGGAAATGCTCTGCTCTTTACAGCTCTGCTTCGTCTGTGGCAATGTGGGGGCCTTCATCACCTGCGCAGAGCCGGGCTGCGACCGCAGCTTCCATCTCTCCTGCGCTTCCAAGGGTGAATGCGTCACCCAGTACTTTGGAGAGTACAGGTAAGGGCTGCCAGGCATCGCCTGCGGGCCTCCAAGCCCTGCTTCAGCACCAGCCAAAGAAGCGAGGAGCGCGCCGTGACGCCTCCCAGCAGCCTGGCAGAGCCAGAGCCAAGGCCTGGGGCTCCTTCCTGTTCCTCTGCCCTCCTCGCAGCACTTCTCACCTTGCCCGTCCCTCCCATCTTCCCCCAGGTCCTTCTGCATGGAGCATTGCCCACAGCAGGCACTGAAGGCAGCGCCGGCGCAGGACACGACCTGCATCATCTGCATGGACCCCGTGGGGGACAGCGTGTCCTACAGCACCATGGTGTGCCCAGCCTGCCAACACGCCTGGTTCCACCGGGCTTGCATCCAGGTGGGAGCCCTCTCCTCACCCCATGAGCACGGCAGGTGCTCAGCAGCACCAGGCCTGGCTCACACTCACCCTGTTCTGTTTCTGCTGCAGAGACGGGCCCTGTGTGCGGGCATTACTTTGCATTGTCCACACTGCAAAGACGAGGAGGAATTTTTTGACTATATGAACGCCATGGGGATCCATATCCCATCCAGGTTGGTACCCCATTCCTGGTTCTCCAGGCCTGAGTGCACAAGAGCTGTGCCTGCCCAGGGATGGCCCACGCAGGCCTGGATCTTTGCCGCCCATGAGCGTTGGCCTCACCTTCATGGAGAAGCTGGAAACGGTGTTGGGCTGGAAGAGCAGGAACGGCCTGGGTCCGTCTTACTACAGAGGCACTGGTTGCTCATCAGATTTCTTCCTTTCTCTGGCAGAGGACCAATATGGGACAACAATTCATACGTACAAGAGGCAGACAAGCACAAGCGCTGCGATGCCAGGGAGTGCCGTTACCCCCACGGCAGGGACCAAGCAGGAGAGGGGTGAGTTCCCTCAGCAGCCCTCTGGGCCTCCGCATGGGATCGCAGCCTCACCACGGGCTGGGAGAGCATAAACTGAGCACCAGAGCCGTGCCGGGCGCTCCCTGGCTCAGCTCACTTTGTCCTCACGGCCACATCCTGTTGTTTTCCCCAGGCCCTGGCAGCTGCTCGTCTGCAGCTCCTGTGCTGCGCGAGGCACCCATCGGCGCTGTTCCTACTTGAGCCTGAGCACAAAGGCCTGGGAGTGCAACGCCTGTGCTGGAGAGGGCACCTGTAAGAGACAAACAGCGCCGTGCTGCTGGGCTGGGGCAAGGCGAGATCTTGCTCCAGTCCCTTTGGCCCAGGAGCGATGGGAGTCTGTCCCACCCCAGGGCTGGAGTTCCATCCCACTCATCTTCCTGCCTTCCCTTACAGCCTCCAGCAGCAATGTGGACAGCGCTGGCCCCAGCACTGACACCCAACAGGGACACGGGCCTCTCCAAGGCCCTGTGACATCCCAGATGAGCAGCAGCTCCAGCATCACCAGCCAGGCACCATCGGGGTCGGCTCACAGTTCCAAGGTGCCTGAGAGCAGAGGCCTGTCCAGCCAGCGCAGGATAAAATGGAAGAGAATGTGCTCACGTTTACATCGCGTTGACGATGCATGCAACGAGCTCCAAGGATGCTATGCGAGCAGCTGTGCTGCAGCCCCAAGTACCAAAAGCAGCACCCCGACCTCTGCCAGCCAAGGGACATCTCGGTCCTCGAGGCACTCCTGAGCAGTCGGCT